GGGGGGGGGGGGGGGGGAGGGCGGCGGACGTTCAGGGAAGGAGGTGGATGTTTCCATAAAGTCCAGCGAGCACGTGAACAAGTGGACAAATGAATGTCCCTGGTGGGCAGCCCCAGCCAGGATTTGGACAAGGGCAATGTTTCCCAAAAGTTTCTGATCCCAAGAATTCCCCAGTGCTCTTGTTGAGAGCAGATGCCCAGGCCCTGGCCCAGGAGAATCAGAAGGCGTGGAGCTGGGCCCTGAATCCACCTGTAACAGGTGGATCCGCTGTGGCTACCGCTTCAGAACCACTACTGACCACACTGAGATCGTTACACATCTGGGTGCCAGAAACAAGTACAAAATAACTTTTTTTGCAGTAATACCATGAATTTCCGCTGTAAAGGCCTTTCCAGGTATCTCTCAGGAAAGAAGGCTTGCCACTTGAAAGCCTTTCCTGGCCAGCAGAAGGTCACTCCCTTCTGCCATCTCCCTCTCCTGACTACCCCCAGCTCCCACCACACACATACATGCATGCAAGCAAAGGGCTGAGTCTAGATGCCATGGCCCCTAGTCCTGCCCTTTGCCAGGCTGCCAAGGGCAGTAGGGGCCTATCCCTTATCCCTGGGGACCTGGGAAAGTGCTGGTGGTCCAGAAGCTTCTGACACAGGTCACCCACTGCTGGCCCCTGAAGAAGTGACCAGCCTGGGGTATGCCCAGGAAGGGAATAGGGGAGCAAGGGTGCCTAGGTGCTGAGCCCTGGCTGGGTACCCACTCCACTCCCTAAACTGACCCCACAGCAGACCTGCCAGGCATGTATGAAGGAAGGGTGCTTTCTCCTGGGGACAGAATGCTATCTTCAGGAGTCCGGGAGTCTGGGCAGGGCCTGGTAGGCTGCAGCTCTAACAAGCTCTCAGGTGGTGCTAATTTTGCAGGCCTCTGGTCGACCCTTTGAGCTGTAAGGATGTAAACCACCAAAGCCTGGTTTCCTGGAAAGGCCTGTTGACTTTTTCAGTCCAAAGCTGGCTGCAGGCACAGAAGACTGTCACACTGAGAGGCCAGGGTGCCCTAAGCTTCCCCTCCCCAAGTAGGCCCCAGACGCCTAGAAGAGGATGGGGGGTAAGCAGGTGGAGGTGAGAAGCCGTTGCAAAACATTTAGGGGCTTTTCCTCCACCACGAGAATCATCAGCTTTTGGTATCTGTTAAGTTGGGGCTCAGAGAATCCCCAAGGGGGTGAGAAGAAAGGAAAACCCCCTTGGAAGCCCCAGTTGGGGACCAACTGTCATTTTCAGCCTGTGAGTGCCTAGAGAAATAGCCACAGCTCCCGCTGCGGGGAGGTTACCCCACAAACACAATGTCATGCCCTTCTTCCTTTCCTGACTTGTCCATATGGGGTTGCAGATGCTGGGCCCCAACCTGGGGCTCTGGCATTCCCTCACCAGGGGAAAGACCGTCCCTGCATATCCACCTTGAAGGGCATCTGTGGGGTCAGCCTGTGGACTGCGGGTGGGCAGAGAGCCCAAGGGTTCTGCCGGGAATTCACCAGTGGCTTTGAAACTGGTTGTAGCAGATTCACCTGGAGCTGCTGGTTAAAAGGCAGAGTCCAGGGCTCCACTCCAGGCCTTCAGAATCTCCAGGGCCTGGAAACTGGCTTTTAATAAGGGCTCAGAGGAGTTCTTAGGGATAGAGACTTTTGGGAAACAGTAACCTCTTCCCTCACACTGGCACCACTGACTATAGCCACTGATGCTGACACTAGTCACCCTTGGCTGGTTTTGGCCCAGGAGGGGACTGGGGACAGAGCTTTGAGGATCAGGCTGATCCCTGGCCCTGGAGCCACAACAACTCGAGCCAAAGGGCTCTGGGTGGCTGCTGACGTCAACATCTGGAGTTGGGCAGGCCTGTATGGGAACACAGCTCCACTACTCCCTGGTGGTGGCTTTGGGCAGAGGACTCCACATCTCTGGCCTCAGTCTCCACATCTGTAAAGTGGAGCCACACCTTCCCCCCACCGGGCAAGGATGACATACAAACTAGAGAAAACATGTAAAATGCCTTCCTCAGGAAAAGACAGCCCTGGTGACAGTGACCTGTGGGCCTGGGCAGAGAGGCCTGAGGCCCGAGGAAGCAGATAGGACATGAGCCTCATGCCAGAGTCACTCCTTCCACTGAGGGGTGTCTGTCTTAACGGAGGGACGGGAGCTCCACATCCAGCTTGACAGGCCATTTCCAGGGCACCCACCATGGGCCTAACGCTGCATGTAGCTGGGACAAATGACAACCAGCAGAGGACCATGCAGGGCCTCCCCATTAGGTGGGATCACAGGAAGCCTGGACTAGAAGGCAGGGCTTGGGGTGAATGGACATAGTTGAACCCTGGAGGCTGGAGCACAGCCAGGGCCGTGGAAGGGGTCAGCCTGGCTGGACCATGCTGGACTCCAAGCCATGCAGACACCCTGCTCTTTACCCTGTGGAACAAGGGCAGCCAGCACAGAGGGTCACATGGTGAGGGAGTGGCTGGATCATACGTGGGGCTGGGAAGGCCCTGAGCTGCACCCATCCCCCATCAGGCAGGGTAGAGGCAGCAGCCCCCGGGCCTGTCATTCCCAGGTTAGCAGCCATCCTCACCCTCAGTCTGGCACTCCTGTGGGTGGCACTCCCTAAGATCTGCCCGCCTGGCACCTGGCCATGGCCCATTCCCCACAATTAGGGTTGCCAGATCTGGCAAGTAAAAATAAGGGGGCCCAGTGAAATCGAATATTGGAATAAACAACAAGTAATGTTTTAGTAAATGTGTTCCATGCAGAATTTGGGACGAACTTATACTAAAACATCATCAGTTACCTCAAATTCACATGTTCTTGGTGTCCTGCATTTCATCCGGCCTCCCTATGACTCCAGGCCAGGGTGCATCCATTCACAGGGCATCTCCAGCTCTGGCTGCAGGGATGGGTGGGCCCTGCAAAATCTGAACTGAATAGAAAGATAAGAATCTTCGCTGTTTGGGGGGGGCCCTTCTAGTCTTGGACAATAGCTACCATTCATTCAGCAAACAGTTTGCAGATAAGCCCTCGCTCTTCCTGTTTACCTGGCTCCCTGGCTCTGTCTCAGCCTCAACCTTGTACCATTATTTCTTTTGACAAGTCATCTCTCATCTCCCTAGGGGTGGGATGGGTGGCCTACAAGTGATGCCAAGCAGAGGCTGAGAATGTCGGGTCTCCCACCCAAGGGATGCAACAGAACACATACTGTGGGATGGTTCAGAGGGCAAAAGGCCTGGCTCCTTCCACAAACACATTGCCAGAAGAGCTGGGGAGAGGAACCTTCTGGTTTTAAAGAGACTTATCTGTGCATTAATCACATGCAACCTTGCTAACCACTCGTGGACCTTGTTAGGTTGCAATTCAAATAAACCATGGGAAATAAAAATATTTATGAGACCATCAGAGAATGAACTCTGATGGGATGCTGGGTAAGATCCTTAATACTAAAAAGGATTACTGTTCATCTATTTTAGGTATGATGATGATTGTTAGGCTGGAAGAAGGAAAAACAAGGACATGCAAACAGAACAGAGATGCCATAGGGGGAGAACAGACCAGACCCCAAGGTCCGTGCCTTATATGGAAAGGGGACAGCTCTTCCTGAATTCCATCCTTCTGATGTGCCAACTAAGACCCGGATGTCAGCCTCCTCCCTCTTGGAAGGAAAAAAAGTTTCTAGTTGACTATTATGTCACCTTTAGCCAATCATGCCTCTCCACGCCCCCTAGGATAGCTTGCCCACTCCTCCCCCTCCTAACCACTTATAAGCCCCCACCTCCCTGACCAGGTGTGACTTCCCTGGCCTGTAATACCCAGACCAGGGAACATCACCTGGGAGCTGCACTCAAATAAACTACCTGGGCCTTTGTTGCCGCTCTTTGCCTGCTTATTTTGGCTAAAATTTATCTTACAATGATGATTTTGTGGCTCTTAAAAATTGAGGCATAATTTGCATGCCATAATATTCACCCTTTTAAAGTATAACTGTTAGGCAGGAAAATAGATATGAGCAGGGTGGAAGGAGAGTAAGGCCAGGAAAACCCAGAGTTAATCAGTTAAAGCTCTAAAAGACAGGAGCAACTTGGCCTGGGATGTTTGAATATTCCCTAGAGAAAGGAGGGTACCTCAGCATAGCCCGTGTCTTTATTGTGTTAATCATGCGGGCCCAGCTTATTTTTTAACTTTACCTATATGCTGATTTTTTTCTCCTTCGGCCCTAATCAAGTAGTTTGCAACCAAGACAACTAATTTAGCATGCAGGCCCAGCCGTGAACAACATAGTAAAAGGCAGGAAGAATTCCATCTTAAAGATTGCATTTTAATATCCAAGAAGTTGAGAAGTAAGATGCTTAACTTACTCT